ATCTACATGCTAAGGGACGTATTTTGAAACACATCGTATCCATACAACAGTATAGGTGCAACTTAGTTCTATATAAATCAACCGTCTTATACATCTTACTTGTTACAAATTCTAAAATGTAACTTACTAGATAAAAATGTATTCCAGATATTAATGCTGATGGTATACCGTATAAGCCTAAACAAAAACAACTGCGTAAAAAAAAAAAAAAAAAGATTTAAAAATTATCTACTGTTGACAGATCTCTAATTACATTTTACTCTGGTTAGAAGTTCCAGAGGTAGGACTTATGGGAAAAAAGTCCCTCCGAAATTCTGTCATGGTCATCGTCATTGTCATTGTCATCGTCGACTAAATTTAGATGCATGTATGTATTATCTTGAAAATTGTCAGAAAATAATCTAAAATCTGAAATATTTTCAGCCGCATTTGAATCTAGGTTGTCCAGGAATGACCAATCCATTGACTCCATTGAAGCCACAGCGCTATCTGAATTCAACGAAGATGTGCCCTCTAATTCCATTATTGTTTCAGACTGAGTTTCTGCTGAAGAGAGAATAATAAATTACTCTCTTGAAATCGACAATGTAAGCTTTATAATGAAATGGTGTAAGGTGATTGGAGAGAAAATATAAGTTTTTGGTTCAAACATTATTTCTATTCATCATGAAAATTGTACAACTTGTTTAGCCTATTAGATTGAAGGAATACAAAGATGAAAAATGTGAAAAGCTATGTAATATGCTTTGACATATGGAAACCCTATTTAAAACATGTTTGACAAAGAAACGCTACTGTCTTAGAATTTTTGGTATAACCTACAAAGTCTTTGTTAAAAATGACATGCGCTTAATAAAATACTTCAAATTTTAAATTTAAATAAACAAAACATGTCCAAAACTTTCAATACCTGTCGGTGCCTGATGATTATTGCTGTTGCTGTTACTGTTTGCATATTGAGCTGCTTCAACTTGTATTTCAGCTGGACTGAGAGACTGACCACCACTAATATTAGGCGGATCATGAGGGAAGTTGAACACAGCATTGTGTCCCCGGAGGCAGAATTGGGCAGCGTCGAACGCTCTGGCTGCCTTCTCGGCCGTGTCATACGAACCTAGCCATATCCGTTCCCGGCTGTTTGGAAGCCTTATTTCCGACACATATTTCCCCCACTTCCTCTTCCTTACTCCCTTATACTTCAATTCTTCATTCCTATTCTCAATCATTGGCTGCAGCGGTGAAGGTGGCGTTGGCTTGACCATTTCTTGATTGACAAGAAGGAAACTGTAATGTAATTTTATTGATGATGTCCCAATAATATTCCAAGAAAGAACTTCCTACAAAATAGCAGTTCACTATAATATCTCAGTTTCATATGGGGTATATATATGTATGTCCACAGTCCATCATCCATTGCTACAGATTCCGTTGTCAAGATTAAGGTCTTAACGTGTTAAAATATAAATGGAAATCCAATTAAAGTGGACGGATTGAAAGGGATAGCAGAGAACGTGGCTCAGCTCGGTAGGGTCATTTCTAATCTACACGTGCAAAAATCTTTTCATGGTAATGGTTTTATATAAATTACGGCGATAGGTAATAATTGTGAATGTACAACAGTTATCCGGACCCATTTTCAGGGTTTACGCTGCTCTTATTTTCGTCGTCGCTGTAATTAGAATTTGCATTCATTAATATTAGTACGAAATGACCAATCATCTACTTTGGTCTGTGTCAAAATTCTACAAATGCAATTTCCCTTGACCATAGGCTAGTGTTCTGGGACCCCAAATCTTTGTAAGATCGACGATCACTTCAAACTTGAAGGAGTTATACTTGTTTTAAACGTTGAAATACTTTTATGAACTTCTTTAAGGGTCGATTTAATTGTAAAGGTGAAATTGAATTGGGTGGAAAACGAATTTCAGGGAATTGAATTGCTTAGAATTGTTTTTTTGAGAATTGTAAATTATTGTGTTTGATTGGTATAATTTCCACGTGGAAAATATTGAAATAAAAGTGTTTTTTGATATTCGTTTGACTTTGTTTTACATGAAAAATTGTCAATTAAAAGGATAGAATTTACAGGTATTGGGGATGACATTGTTTTCCATTGCCAAAAAACAAAATAAATAAATAAATAAATAAATAATTCAAGAAAATCATCTATTTTTTAGTGTTCGTTGGTCATTGTTTTACATGAAAATTATCAATAAAAGAGAAATATTTTTTTACAATAATTCTTAGAATTGGTTTCCATTGCCTAAAAAAAAAAAAAAAAAACGAAAAAAAAAATCGCTATAGTAGCAGAATTCCAATTCTCACCATATGAATTCCACCAAATCAAGGAATAGCACAACTTCCAATAAAAGTTAGAAACCAATTCCATGGAAAATCTTATGAATCAAACACTACATTTTGGGTGGAAAATTTCCACCCATTTCCATGAAATTGGGTGAATAAAACACACCCTAAATGACACACTTTCTAGAATTCGTAAGCTCTTGTGAACTTTTATAAATTCTACATAATTGTGAAAGACTTTCATAAACGTTTATAAATTTCATTTTTAAAGGCTTTCATAGATTTTCAAATAATAATTCTGAACTTTACGAGTTTAGTAACAAATTTATTTTCATTCTTATGACAAAAAAAAAAAAAAAAAGTGGAAATGATAAAAAGATGAGAGAGAGAGAGAGAGAAAAATGCTCTTGGAATATTGAAGATAAAAAAATTACATTGAAGAGAGAATAAATTAAAATTAATCCAAGCTGGTTTCAAACCAAACAAATTACAGAAAATCTTAAAGTAAACTGACTGCAAATAAACAATGATACAAATAAAAACATGCTATACACCAATTTTAAAGAAATTGCATATACTATTCTAATTACCATTTCCCGATCCGAGTCGTGGAAGTTGAAGTCACTTAGCACCGAGTATTTAAGTTACCAAGACCCACCTTTTTTTCTTTAATTTAAGCACTATAATTTTAAAGGACGGAGGGTTGTTGTGCTCTGAAATTATTTATCGGTAGGATATTAGGAATTGATCCTACTTAATCTATTAATAAAAAGAATTTATACAAATGGAATGGACATTTGGCCTAACTACTATAGACGAGAAAAAGACGTATCATGAACAGTATGTTTGAAGGAACTAATCTCATTATATGGGTTACGAAGACCGACTTGAATACGTCAACCTATCGTCTTATAAATTCGAGGTTTTGATTTAAATAATTAATTTACTTCTGAAAAGTGCTATTTACCTAAAATTTCCAGCAGTCTACTTGGTCAACTCGAATTTTGATGACATTTTTACTATGTGATAGTGACTGCTGAGATTATTTTTCTCGTGCCTATTTTCTGATTTGTGCAAGCAATTGTAGTTTAATAAAGAGCTGGACCCTAGCCAGCGTTGATAAAATAGACCGTAGGGCTTTCTATTGTCAAATATACGGAGAAATTGATGTAAACTCATCCACTACTGATATTCATTCATCCATTGTCGCTCTCTAGCTTCTATTCATTAACCTTTGACTGTTTCCTTTTCATTAGGGCCTACCAATCCTCTCGACCATTCGTCAAAAAGCGGAAGATTGAGTATAGAAAAATAAGATATTTTGAGAGATTTCTGCGCCGCAGACGTGTTAATAAAGGGTTCTACAATATTCCTTAGATACAGAGATTTTATTGACTTTTTAAGGGATTGACTTACTCCCCTTATTGTGTAACCCTTTTGGGACGTGACCTAAATCTCAACAAGTTTTAGTAAAGTAATATAGTCTTTCATGGAGTGTGTCATCTTTTTAGTTGATGTTGGTCTCGAAATCATAAATCGTACAGCAAAACGTTTGTAAGTGTCGTAGTTTGACCCAAATTCTAATGGATATTGGAGTTTTGGTTGAAGTGGTCTTGAAGTGATCAAAATTATTGATCGAGAAAAAAAGGCGCAGCATTTTCGCTAGTTGACCACTCGAGCAGCACCTACATGTTTTCAACAAAAAATTATTACTAGTCTAGCACTCGATTGAAGGCGCTGTTGATTATCCGGCCAAAGCCCATTTCGCGTTTTGAATTTTTTTTGGACTTTTATTCTTCTACAACTTGACTTCCAGGGTTTCATATATATATATATACACTGTTTATATTGTTCCCATAATATTCATACAATATGTTGAGAGTTTTAGATTTTAATTGAGAGTATTGAAATTTTGTTGTAAATACAATTATTATTGATTATAGTAAATTTCTCTTCATGTGCCTGTGATTTTCCCCACATTGGGCTTCTACATAAAGTTTGGTGTTCTTAATTCTTGTTCTAATTTATTTCATTATTGTCATTATCTTGCGATCAATTCGTAACAGGTGGTATTAAAGCAAGGTTGATTATTCCTCATAGCAACGAAGAAATTTGATATTCTATTATTGAATCGAAACATGAGAATTATTTTATGGCAAGTGAAAATGCGAGTAGTTCTCGCGCGGATGAAATTGGAAGAAGCCTTGCTTGACTTTGATAGGATGCCTTCAACCTGGACGCAGGATGAAAAGAAACATAGGGATCAAAAAGCTCAATCCCAAATTCATCTACATCTATCAAAAAAATTCTGCAGGATGTTATAAAAGATAAAAGTGCCGCTGCGTTATGATTTAACTTTGTATGATAAGAGCTTGACCAGCAAGTTACATTTCAAACATCGCTTATATTCTCACCGAAGATGGGTCGTTGGATGATCACTTAACCATGCCAAAGAAATCGTGGCCGATTTGGAGATACTAGAAGTTAAATATGATAACGATGACTTGGCATTGATGTTGTTGTGCTCACTACGGCCATCATATGTGACTTTTAGAGATACTATTCTCTATAGTTGGGATACTCTCACTGTGAAAGAGGTTATGATGCTTTACTATCGAATAAGAAGATGGGGCATCGTGTTGGAGAATCTGGAAGTCAAGTTGAAGGCCTGGTTGTTAGTGAGGAAAATCAAAATAGAAATATTGAAAGGAATATAAGGGGCAGATCGAAATCCAGACATGTAAAGAAAGCATATTATTACTGTAAGAAAAAGGACATATCAGAGCTAAATGCTATTCGCTGAAAAATAGAAATAAAAGCTATTGGTGATACTAAAAATGGAAAGCAACCTATTAACACAGCGGAGGCTGATGTTGTGAAAGAAAAGCATAGTGAAGAAAAGATTTTTGTGATTTCTGATATAGGTTTCAAACCTTGTAAGGAATGGATTGATTCTTGGGCATGTATTTTCCATAAGAGTCTCAGCAAGGACTGGTTTACAACATATGAAAAGTTACGACAGATGCAGTGATTATGGGAAACAATATGCTTTACAAAATTGTCGAAATTGGTACAGTCAGAATCAAGATGTTTGATGGTGTAATCAGAATACTTAAAGATATCAGGTAAGTTCCAAAACTAAAGCTATTTGAGGACACTTGACCCAAAGGGTCATAAATACACTGGTAAATATGGAGTTTTGTAGGTGAGTAGGGGAGCTCTTATTGTCATCAAAGGACAAAAAAATTCTACACAATTGTACATTTTGCAGGGTTCCACAATTACAGGAAATGTGGTAGTTCTATTTCTTATTTAATCGATAAAGAAGTTACTAAACTTTGACATATGTGACTTGGGCCAGAGTTGAGTTGGAGGGGACTACTTAAAAGGGAGAAGATCAATAAGATATAGTTTTGTGAGCATTGTGCCTTTGGGAAACTAAAAAGAGTTAGATTCACTAAAGGAAGACACAACACGAAGAGAACGTTTGAATATATTAATTTAGATATTTGGGGATTGGCAATGGTGCCTTCAAAATGATGTGCTTGTTATTTGTTGACAGTGATTGATGATTTCTCTAGGAAAGTTTGGGCATTTTTCTTGAAACAGAAGAGTAATGTGTTTGGAAACTTCAAGGAGTGGAATACAATGATAGAAAAACATATTAGAAAGCAGGTGAAATTTCAACGCACAAATAATGGGTTGGAGCTTGCTCAGATGAATTCAATAGTTCCTATGGGGCTGAAAGTATCTTGAGACACTTGACAGTTCCTGGAACTCCACAACAGAATGGTGTCGCAGAACGGATGAATAAAATTTTGATGGAAAAGGTTCGTGTATGCTTTCGAATTTTGATTGCCTAAGATTTTTTGGGCTAAAGTTGCTACTACAACTTGTTTTTTGATTAATTGCTCACCCTCGGCTGCAATTGAGAAAAAGACACCATAAGATATATAGT